CACAGTTTCAGAAATTAAACTACTTTTAAAAAACACAGAAGAATAAAACAAGAACAAAAACAAAACCCAGAGTCCTTCCCTTGTTACAGTGTATTCAATTTTTAAAATTCATTTCCAGTAAATTAAATTAAGTAGAATCCTGATAAGTGCATAGTAGGGGATTCAGTGACCTCCACCCATCTGAGAAGGTTTTCTTACTGTGTGTCACTTGAGGTAATCTGAAGGGCCCAATTAACTGCAAACTGGCTTATCTGTACCTATTTGAAGTTATATGTTATACTTTATGTGGCTTAGCAGAGGGCCTCTCAATTTTATATTTTGTTCACAATAAAAAGAACATCTTAGAAAACTAGTCATTCACGTACCATTCCCTGTATGGGTAAAGGTTAATTCACAACAAATTTATACAGAAAATATACAAATACAATATTATGGGAGAAAAACCCCATAAACAGAATTAGAAACTTATTTCTAAGAGTGCATGTGAAAAATATCCACAAACTTACAGTACAGCAAGAGAAAACTAAAAAGCTAGAAATTGAATGTTACATTAAAACCTCATGGAAATTCCAAAATTTTAGGTTTCTGCAATAAATGTAAAAATATCGAAGGTGTCATGATTTGGCCTAGCAATACACTATGATAGAAACACTAGCATATCACAGCTTCTTGGTCATAGGACATTTGCTTTGTATAACAAGTAGCTCTTTATTTTTTTTAAAAAATCTGTCATATCTTAACACATCCATTGCAAGTAATACACAACCATGGTAGGAAACCATTTGAGATTATGTTTTGGAGAAGAGCTGTGTGATACGACTGGTTAGTTCTGTTTTGTTCAAGGAGAATTAATTACCTGCTTCTTTATATTATTCCTTAAAACTTTAACATATTAGAATACAGAGCTTCTAAGACTAGCATAACACTAGTCATTAGATAAAATTCCAAAACAATACTGTTTTACTGACCAAAAATTTCACTAATAAAGGCTTCCATGATACTAGAATTTCTTCCTTAAAAACAAAACAAGCACATACCATAATGCAATTCACAGCTAAATTTCCCTCTACCTCATATTTTACCTGCATAATCTTGAGACGGTATTCAGAAATACTATCTAACTAAAAAGATATTAAAATCTGGTTTCAAAATTTCCTTTTAGTTTACACAAATGAGTTGAAAGTCTCGGTATTGGAAATTCCTCTAATAGTTTTGCATTAAGAACGCAAAGATAAATTATATAGTACTCAATTTTATGTGATTTTTAAAAATACATAATAAAAGTGTTGTAGGACTACAACAGCTAATCAACACTCTCTCAACACATTTTAAAAAGGCACCAATATAAAGAAATTTTCTAAGTATTTAATACATTAAATTAAGGATCTTAAGAGACCAGTTACTGTATATTTTAATTATTTTGCAGAAACTGGAGGTTTAAAAAGAGTTCTAAGATAACTTTCATATATACAAACTTCAATTTCACCCTTACTCTCTTTTTCTTTGAATTTCTATTTTAGAGTAGTCTTCATACAGATAGTACTTACTAATATATAAAATATAAGTAAAGATGACCACAAATGTAACTTATCTTTTTTTGTAAAATGAACAATTTAAAGTCGAAAAATAACATAGCCAATAACTCTCATAATCTAAGTTCTGTCTTAAATCTAAGGGCATACAGTTTCTTATATTTTTGCAGCCTTTTCTGTTCTTTACCTTAAGGAATCATTTTGGAGATATAATAAATTAACATTTGGAAAGTAAAACATAATTTTCGTCTAAATGCCTTCGCTGATGTAAATTTTGTCAAACATTTACATAAAATATCATAAAGACTTCACGGTGGTTTGTGAGGTGTACAACTGAGACACAAAAGCTATAAATAAAAGCAATAGCAAGCTCACTAAAATTTTATCTTTGTCCATTTGTCAACAAATATCAGTTGATAATTTTTCTTTTCTATGTCTTCCTATCCAAAGGTAATTCATGTTTTTTTCACTTTGGAGGTTATATCGAATCAGCTTAAAATCTCTTCTTTTTTGATTGTTTTGATTTGTTCTGGAAGTAGACAGTAAAGGTCCAAGGTTTAATAGTTACAAATAGTCCTAAAGACACACTAGTAACTCTTAATATCTCTTAATACAATCTGGTAAAAAGTAAACCAACTAAACTGCTCAGGTATTAACAACAGTTAACTCTCTATTTGCTCTTGCGTCTTGCAATATATCTGATCATTCTAGTTGCTTCTTTTCATGAATTTTCTTTAAAAGAATGTATGTGTGTGTGCATAATTGCTTGTGTATGTATATGTGTATATACATATACATATATGTATATATATAGGATAGACTTCTCCTGCTTTGTAGCCAAATCTAAATCCTAGTCTCTCAGTCTTCCATTTCGTCCCTCCAGAAAATTCTCAACGGAATGTTTCAACAACTCAACATTTCTTCCCATCTGCTTATTGGTCACTTTCACTGATTAAAACGTCAGGTTAGAATGGCTTTTTAAGTGACTGACCGCTATTAGAGAGAGGCTACACACTTCTCCAACAAGAGCTAGAGATAAAATCTGGGCAAAATTAGGGCAAAGTAATGTGATGAATTTCTGGATTTTTGCCAAATTGGAAAATACAGAGGGTAACCCATTTCCATGTACCTCAAATACTCTGTATTGTGAAATCTCACCTCAATAAACTTAGGCATGTAACTGTTATATAAAACTTGATTTATTTGGCGTCTGACCCTCATACTTATTTTTAGGTGCTACCAGCTTATTTATAAGCCATCCAGATTTTCCCAGAAAGTACTGTGTTCACGAAAATTCTTCCTAACCTACACATTTGAATTGACCTTGTCCTCATTTGTCCCTGCCGCACCCTGAGCCATCTTTACCTCTTTCTGTTCCTCATATCATGAGGCTAAGAAAGTACAAGTATATACTTGTACCAAATATACACTCACAAATACTAAGTCCCTTCAATAAAATAATTTCTCCAAAAGATTAAATCAGAAAAAGAGATTCATAAGTACTTTCTTCATGTACTATACAACTCTTTAGGTCCATCTAAATTCAGTTTCATTCCAGGGCAGGTAGGTACATGATTGTTCATATACACGCAAAAAGTGTGTGTGGGGGGGGGAGGGAGAGGGGGGGCGGGCAGAAAGAAAATTCATAGAAAATGCCAGCAGAAATTCATACACAGCCAAAGTTATGAACATACTGACGGCCATCCAAATGTTTCCTTAAATTGCAGTAATACACAAAATCACTGACCTTAAATTATTTACCTACCACCAAAATGAAAAAAAATAAAATAAAATTCCAATTATCTATGAGTAGTTAGGGTAGGTGGGGTGAGGGAGTCTCAAAGACATGCTTTACCTTTCATAAGTTGTATGTTCATATAGTACTAATGTACCAAAACATGCAGAAAAAAAATGACAGTTTATATTCTATTTAAAACATGTCACATCTCTGTTTTGGTGCATTCTCGTAGATTTAAAGACACAGTTCGGACATTACTCCAAAAATAATTATGACAGGGGCTAGTAAAAGAGAGTTGAATTATAACCATTTTTTGCTAGCTCTGGCTGTTGGTGCTTAGAAGTTGCTTAAATAGAAAGTAAACTAAAAAATGAGTGAAGAGCAGTATTACAGCCAGATTTGCTTATGTGTCCATAGTTCTTTAATCTTGATATTTCTCACATCATTCTATATTAAGAAACATAGTTTCAGCATCCTATTTAATTATTATTTTTTTTTAGAGTAGCTATCAGTTACATTTCAGTGTTCATAAATGGTTATCAGATAATCCAGTCGCAGTCAGGGCTGCTTTCCCTAAAAACGAGCAGCGAGTTCTGCCTCCAAGCCACATCCCCCAAAATGACTTGAATCAATTTCTGTTCCTCCCCTCTAATGCTGTAGAACTTCACCTATATAAATTAAATTAAAATCTGCACATGAAATAAGGTAACATGAATGGATTACAAGAAGAGAAATTCTGTACCGAGGGATTGAAATTCATTTCTGACAAGGACTTAGAAATAGTTGAATGTTTTTAAGACAGACAAATGTGCAGGACATAGTAGCTTTTGCTTGGGGTTCAGTCGCATTCTATATTCCAAGAAGGTTAAAAATAAGCTTCATTTTTTGTTTTCTCTATAGTCCAACGTATAGGTAACAAAGAAGTTTCCTTTCCTTGAACCGAAAGTGGTAAATGTAATCATTGAAGAAATACTATAAAAAATAGCCCTACTTCCATAACCTTAAGAAGTTCAAGTCACCACATTCAGATCAAATTAGCAATTGCTCCAAGGAGATTTTGAAAGAAATAGCCTATAGTAAAATTTTGAGTAAAAGATGAATGGACTAAGGACAGAACACTGGGTGGTCACAGCTTGGAAAAAAAAAAAAAAAAAACAGTAAAAAGAGAAATGCCAGGAAAGAGATTTCTGAGTGGGATTTTTTTTTCCCCCCTACTGTTAGCCTAATTATGTTTTTCTGCTGACCGGTTAACACTGATTAAATGCTGATAAAGTGACAATCATAAGCATACTTCTAGAAACAAACACGTATACTATGTGGCCATCACATTACAACATTAAAAGAAAACTTCCCAAATTAATGAAAAGTAGAGGTCCCTTCTGGAAACTAATGAATGCTTCTAAGCCACTCTTAGACCATATGTTATTCTGAAAATTAGATGAAAATACTATTCATTGAAGGTGTTATAAGTAAGGCTGCCAGGGTGTCTATACAATGCCAGTCATCAAGATTATGGAAAAACAGTGCCTAAAGTTTAGAAAAATAAGATCATAGGACTTCAGCTGTATTGTTAAGTGTCCTTAATTACCTGTAGTTTAAAAGTTTTGCTATCTGGTACAGTGTATAACATACTATGTTATAAATTCCATAGGGGAAGTAAACATAGAACCCACAACAACAACCCATCCAAGGAGTCATCACTGAAAATAACAATGTGTTTGTGTTTTTGAAACATTGTTCTTTGAAGCGTTAAGTAACTCATACTGTTTTAAACTGCAAAAGTCTTACCCAGAAAACTCTGAATTTTCCTGCCTTCAAACATAATCCTGAACATCAGTGGCAAATTAGAATCTCTTAGGTGAATCTACATGAATCAAGTGATTTTTTTTCAAAGCATGATATGCCTTATATCCATGCATGGTAGAAATGAACTGCTCTTAAAATTCCCACAAAATAAACAAGCCAAGTTATCAAGAAACAATATCCCCTGTCCCTTCTCTTTTCTATTTCTTCCTTACTGAATTAGGCAGAGCAAAGACACTGTGTCCACAAAATAAGAATTAATGACAGTAATAATATTAAAAAAAAAAGTATGTCAACATCTTAGGGAAGGTGGGATTGTAAGTGCAGTATTTCTTCATGTGCAGTTTGTTACTTCATAGGGGTCCCCTTTGGAATGAAAAGGCCTAGTGGAATGTGTGCTCCCCTCGAACGATGTGTGATGAAAACTCGTAACGGTCCTGGCTTCTGTAGCCACAGATGTTGCATTCCAGTGGGTCCCGGTAGCCATGGCAACCCATGTGAATGGTGTACATGACATGGTCTAGGAAAAGGACTCGGCAGTGCTCACACTTGAAGGCCCTAATCTGTTCTCCTTCCCCATTGAAGACTTTGTAGATGTCCTTCAGAGAGCCTTTAGGAGCCTTGGTGGCATCCAAAGCCTTGACATCCTCCTTCATATAAGCTGGGCTTTGTTTCCTCTTGGGATTTAAGGCAGGGTTTCCTTGGTAGGACTGGTGGTCATCATGGCTGCTTTCTGAGTCAGTAGAATCCAGGCAGCTATTGCTGGGAGAGGCCTCTCTTTCCTGGGGTCGACTCTTTGGTCTGATGAGAGAGATAGGGCCATCCATGTTGTTTTCATGACTATCAGACGTTTCCCTGCTAATAGGTCTTTCTATCCTATTTGGATGATAGACCTGAGAATAAGCTGAGCTTATAACTGGGGCCACCTCAGCGATTGTGCTTGGCGGGTGTTGCATCAGAGGGTGAAGGGCCTCAGCTCCAAGGTAGGTGATTGCATTGTTGATGGCTTGGTCCATCATATGAGGCTGCATCAGCTCAACCTCCTTTTCATATGGTAAGTTCATATCAAAGTGAATGTCTGGGTAGCTGAATCGCATGAGCTTTTCCCCTGAAAACAGAGAGGGGAAGAAAAGGAAAATGGAAAAAAGAAAAGGATACAACAAAATTAGTGGTTAGACTAAAAATATAAAAGTACAAAGCTAATGAAATCCATTTTGCATAAGATGGTATATCTTACTCTTTAGATCAAGTATTTGGGCTCTTTAATTCTGCTGAGGCTCACAAACACCCTAAACTTGCAAAGAGGATTAGTAATAAAAATTTCACAAGCCATTTAGACTTGTTCTAATGCCATCATGAAAATGCATCCAGCCTGAAAGATATGATGGAGTGTGTTATCTTATTTTCATTTGCTATTAAAATTTCCACTTGTCTAGAGTTCAGCAACAATATGAGAAAGAAAAAATATCAGGGACTATGCTTGTTTTTGCATATTTAAACATCAGTGACCAAGCCACAAAGATCATAAAGCAAGAGTGATCTGGTTATAACATCTATCACTTCACTGTTGTGTAGGGTTAATTTGGTTGATTTAGCTACCATACTTAAAAAAAAAAGTCAATTACAGAACCAACATATGTCATTCTGGAGAGTTCAAAGAAGTCACTACTTCAATACTATTAAAAGTTGTATTGTCTGATAAAGTGAATGACATTTGCAGCTATTTAAAAATAGGAGTTACTTCTGAAAGTACTTATATACTTGGAAAATATGTTTTTTGTTTTGCTTATTGAAAGGGATAATTTTTCATTCTTACATCACCCCTTCCTTATTCAGACATGTGTAAAATGTTTCTAGTATGTACACCCATTGTCAGTTTTCTTGACTGAAGGATCTTTGTACTTTTGTCTTTAATATTTACTTCAACAAATTTAATTTTGCTTCAGTATTTTACTTCAATATAATATCTAAACATTAACTATAAAAGAGTTTTGTGCATAGAATAAGTAATTTTAAGTTTTCTCCTTCAAATATCACCATCTATGGACAGAATATTTTCTTTTTAGATTTCTGCCACTAAAACGATGTGGTCTCCTACTAATTACCTAGTTACTCTGATGGGTAAATTTTATAGAAAAATGCTTCTTAAAAATATACATGGGCTTCTTATAAACATTTCTGTGTTGTTGTAGATGAATGCCTAACTTGTAACGTTGATAGGATATACTGATCCACAGAACTGCATTCTGGAAAAATGCTTTCAAGTAGCTAGTATTACCTCAGCTTTGAAGAAAGATCCCCAAAGTGAGATCAGGGTAATGATCAGAGCAATGAAAATGGAAGGAAAAAAATGAGAAATTATCTCATGGTACCTAGTTTAAGACATTGCCATGTCAAAAGTTTAAAAATTAAGCTATACAAACCTAATCTATACTCTCAAAGAGTTTACAGTTTAGAGGGAGTGATAGTAATTTAGGGATCCTTTATAATACAGTGTGATATGTGCTATGGGGTCAAATAAGAAGAATACATATCTCAAACTAGGGGAGTAAAAGAAGACTTCCTGAAAGAAGTGGCATCAGCAATATGAATGTGATGGCAAATATTAGCCAAGTAAAGGAATGTAGGGGTGGTAACAGGGCATGACTCTTTCAAGGAATTACTTATACTTCAATATGGCTGAGTATGAAAGTAGATGAGAAAGATGGAGTCACATAATTTAGGGCTCATCCAACAGCTAAGGAAATTGAATTTTATTCTGAGAGCAATAAATATTGAAAAGATTATACAGGGAAGTGACTTGACTAGATATTTATTTAGCAAGATGATTTAGAAAGTTGTTGCTATAGAGGCCACGGTGGCTTGAACTAGTATAGTGGTGGTGGAAGTGGAGAAAATTGGATGGAATGGAGAGAAACTTATAAAATATAGTTGTTAGGGCTTGGTGATTATCTACACATAGACAATGAGAAAGAGAAAGAACGTAAGCATGAAACCCGGGTTTTTGGCCTGGGAAACTTAGTGGATGGCAATGAGATAGAAAAGATGATGAATTCAGTAGAAGAAAACTATGAATAACAATCATGTACAGTGGTTACTGAGGTATAGTCCCAAACTCAGGAAAGATATCTGGGCTAGAGATGAAAGTCACCAGTTGATAGAAAGTAACTTCTAAAGCTATGGGAATAGATATTACCCACAAATAGGTAAAGTGTGAAGAAGAGAAGGTCAACAATAGAAACTGAAAGAACACCAAGGTTTCTATGCCTGCCCATGGAACAGTGCAAGTGGGATTCCTATACTGGGCTCCATGTTTAGAGAGCCCTGGGCCTTGCTCCTCATGGAACGAGGAATGTGGAGGGCCAAGGGAATGTGCCTATCTGGAGCTCATTCCCTAGATCACCCCAGGACCCCAGAATTTCTTGACAAAATGGCTCGAGCTTGCACCCAGGGTTGGCACAGTCCTCTTCGCAGAGTCCACCTTCCTGAATACCAACTGTGCTATTGGTATGCATACGTTTAGGCTTGAGGAATGGCCAACACACTACTCTTCACATGCTATGTGTGGGTACAGTGTGAAAAGAACTGAGGTGTCTACACGTGTGTGCCTGTGGCTCATTTCGGTATTGGACATAACCAAGAGTATGTCTAAGAGACAGGCCTGGCTCCAGGCCAGGGTGTGGTTCTGCTCATGATGCCAGGGTCTGATGTGGCACTCCAAGAAATGTGATAATTCAATATTCATTTGAACTTAGTCTTCTAAGTCAGAAAGGTAGCACGTAATAGTTTTTCAACTTGATTTATGTTAAAATATTTAGGCATATGATTGGAGGCCTCATTAGTCCTTTGTCTCCATTTGCATAGCTCTTAAGGGTAAATCCATAAAGGAGACTGAGAAAGAGCAGTCAAAGAAGCTGGAAGAAATGCAAGACAGGTCAATGTCAGAAACCGAGGAAAGAGAATATTTCAAAAGGAATTAATAGTGGTAAACGCTCCCTATGAGTTGGGGTCCACTAGATTTGTCACCATGGAAGCTAGTGGTGAACTCAATGAGAATAATTTCAGTGGAGCATAGGAGGAAAAAGCTAGGTTGCACTCACTGGGAAATGAATAGAAAGAAATTATGGAAAATGAGCATAGAGAACTCTTTTAACAACTCCCATCTTTGAAGAAGAGAAAGTAGGTAGTAGCTGGAAGGAGACTAGGTCTGAGGGAAGGGTTATTTGTTTGTTTATTTTATATCATGAGAGTTTATCACATTAAATGCTTAAATAAAAATGCCAATAGAGAGGTGAGGTTGAAATATAAATGAAGAAGAGGAAAATTAGTGTAAGGTATTTGGGGGGCTGGGATAGGAGAATTCCAGAGCATAAGAAGAAGAATTAACCTTAATCAGAAAGAGGGATACTCTTTCACTGAAACCAGGAGAAAAGCAGAAAGTATTCAGGTGGATGCATATAATCCTATAGAATTAGTTATATTATACTGAAATCATTTCAACTGATTTTATTCTCTGTAAATCTAGATATAACATAATCAAGGAGTAAGATACCATGTTTGCGGAGAGCAGAGATAGGTTGGATGGATTAAAGGAGGACTACTACGTAGTATGGATGGGACGACTGGTATTTGGGATCAGTTATTCATTTATAATGACACCAGTTTGTAAGGTTGTGGGATTTTCTCCAAAAGCACTAGCAGCTGAGTAGATATGGAAGAGAGGCTCAGTCAGCTTCACTAGAGAGTGGGGTTTCACCAGGAGAAGGTGAGAGAAGGACAAGGCAGGAGAGTCAAGAATATTGGCAAGAGGGTAGGTAGAAAAAGTGATGAACCATGAATCTAAGCTGGATCAGAAAAGAGCAGAGAAGACAAATATATACACAGAAAGCTCAGGGATCAGTGGCCTGGATGGCTTGACAAGGTCAAAGAACAGTATTTAGCAGGGACATAGAAAAAAGGAATTTATGTTAAGTGATGAAATTTTCGTTTCAAACAGCAAAAAGTTAACTGTGTGATTGTTAGCTATTACTACTAGGACAAAATCCAAATTAAAAAAAACAACATCAAATTCCTAATAAAGATTTAATGTCATTACTTTAAAATCAAAATATAAATTTAAAAAATCCCTCTTTTCTAAGAAATGCAATCAAATCAAATTGAGAGAACATAGCCCTAAGTCATAAAAAACATGAAAACTGACATTTTTAAAAATAAATTCAGAAGAAAGAATAGTAATGAATTTCATATTTTCCCAACTACACTAGTGTCTAGTTGAGATAGACACATTTAATGGGCATCCATCAAATGAATCAATTTTAAAAACAGATGAACTGGCATTTTTAAAAGTTACTTATAAAAAGAAAGAGACAGAAAGGTTACCTAGGGCCTATGGCAGGCCTGTTAATATATTCTTCTCAGGAGCTTTAAACTGACCTAGTACAATCTGGGATCCTTCTTTCAATGAGCTCTGTCAATCTCTCCAGCTTCTCTTAAAGTGACATTTTTGTGATCTGTTAGTTCTTCACTTTTAGATGGAAAGGAAACCTTCTCTAAGTGTTTATTGGAATTTAAATAGAATTTAATTACCTTTTCCTCCGTGAAATGATGAAAGAAAATATTTTCTCCCCATCACCACTCAACCCACATTAGATGTTCCACAATGCTCTTTGACACGGGAGTGTAAGACTATTTGAATATTTTTTCTTCTAATTTCTATAAGAATACATGTATTGCATATAAAATTAACGGCAATTCTTTATATTGAATCTCTATTGCTATTCATACAGTCTTTTTAAAAATTAGATGTTTTTTGTATCCTCAGAGATACTTTATGACTTACAGTATGAAGAATGATGCCAACTCTGAGTGTATCAAAGAATATCTAAGGGCTTGGAAATGAAAAAAGAAAACTCTAATATATCATATTTAATCTTTTCAGTTCAAAATCATAGGCTGGATGAAAACAAAGATCAAAATATGAAATACAGATCCAAATATGAAACATACTGATAGGATGCTGCATTAATTTTCTCATGCCGAATGTTAAAAACATTCTCTTCATCCTAGATCAAATACTGAAAATGTGAATATCACGTAAAGAAAACAATTTAAAAACCTAGTGTTGCAAATTTAAAAACATCACAAAACTGGCTAACAGGCTACACTATTTCTCTTAAGTATTTTTTTTAAAACTAAACATTTTTACATGCTATTTCACTTTATATACCATTGTGAAATACCAATTTACTACTTAGTCTTCCCTTTATTTCTTCTTCTTAGGTTCATATACCTAAGGGTGTGTGCGTGTGTGTGTGTGTGTGTTACACGTGGAGTGGCATAAAGTAGGAAAGAATAATGCAGAAAAGAGATTGGCATTTATTCCATGAGCTGATTTACACCATATATATTCCTAATACATGGGAAAATGTCTTTGCCCATTAAAATCACCTTTCAAAGAAATAAAAGCATCTGGAATGCTTACCCACAAACTTTTGTGGAGTGGAGCTTTTACGTTTTCCCATATTCCCCGTGAACTTCTCTATGACAGCAGGTCTCTCAAAAGGCACCAGAGAAATATTGTTGTCCATAATAGGCTCTTGTTCCTTACAATCTTCTATAGGAGGTACTATATAAAACCATACAAAAAATGCAATCTGATAATTTCTTCAACATTTTAAAGATACAAAGCTGGATTTTCCACCTCAATATGTGTTAAACAGACATAAGCTAGTATGCTTGAATAAGAGCAAGCAGAAATATAACCTCTAGCGTTAAAGTACACGGTAATTTTACTCACACACACAGAGGATTTGTTTTTGTCTGAGTCTTTCTCAGATCAATGACATAAACTGTTGCCACTATTGGTGGCAAATATGTTCATCCTTTTTCTCATCTTATTCCTCTGAAAGTGTTTTTAACATTGATTAAAATCAATACTACTTTAAGATTGCACTATTCTCAAGGCTTTTGGAGTTTATTTTTGCAAAACAATTTAAGTCACTTGTTTTGGAGGAATACTTCGACAGACACAGAATAACAGCACGATATTTAACCAGCTTTTTTTCACCCATGTATTTTCTTGTAGCAGATTTTCTATCTGATGAGCTCAGTGAGCTGGTAGCCCTATTGGCAGTCGCTAAATACCTGCACAAAGCAGCCTTCACGAAGGAGATCCAGTTCTGAATGTGTCTATGCATAGTAAACTGTGGTAGCTTTATGATTGTAATTTATTTTTTAAAAGAGGCCTATAGAAGGATAAAATAATATATTTCCAAATTGGCATATCTGCTCACTAAACTGCTCTAATTCATTTGACCTAACCTCTCCAACTGCTCCTTCCTCATCCCATTTGTCTAAGTTGCTATGGGCTAATGTACTAGCTCATAGATACTGATGTTAGATATTGATATTCATAGTTCAGACAAAGGACTTATAAAAGTTGTTTTTAAATAAAAATACTATCAAAGAATGTTTAACAGTGTAATATCTGAAACAGATAAAGATCAAGTGATTAAAATCAATGTTCACAGGAAAGACCACAACTTATCACTTTTTTATTTTTGCTGCTTTCTCCAGTTGTACCTGTGCCAGTACTGTTTGGAAACCTAGAGTTTTCATATCTTAGGGTATCTTTACTGGTTCAGCATGCAGTGTAAAATGATTTATTTTGCTCCTTTCAATTCGTAAAGAATAGTTCCACTGTGTGAAACACAAGGCATTCTCATTTATAAGGGCGGACACTCAGATAAAAGTTAAGAAAATCTAGTATACAATTCAAGTGACCTATTTAATAAGCAACACAAATTTGAAAAAAATTTGAAAAAATGAAAAATAGCATTAGAAAAATGTTTTCCTAAATTAGACATGTTTAAAGAGATTGACATTCAATCTAAGTTTTGGGTTAACCTAATATCGTGTAGTAGATGGAATAGAAAAATTTAATCTTCAATCTTTTTTTTTATAGAGGCTCTAATTATGAATGGCAAGAGCTCTGCAATTATTAGATGTGAATTTGTAAAAAAAAAAAAAAAAAAAAAAAACCCAAGATGAGATTTAGAAACAGGGAAACACTTAGCTCATTTTCTATGCTGAGATAATTAATGATTATCAAGGGGAAAAAGTAAGTCCCCATATATTATGTAAAACATTGTGTTGTCTCTTAGAAACAACTAAAATTACAAAAGAAAAAAAAACTTAAACAGTAAAGCAAAGAAAGTACAACCATAGAATTCAAATAAGGAAGGACAGGCAGATGAAATGTCAGCGGTGATGTGATGGGGAACCATGTAATTAGCTACAGATTATTGTCAAAATCTTAACTTTTGTTTTCGGTGGTGGATTCGTAAGCATTTACTACACTATTTAAAAAAATATAGACCAAATAACTAAAGACCAAAGATGAAAATAAGCCATGGACCAGGATCCAAAATGAAGGAAGGACAGAAAGAAACGTTTGTTGTTCTAAATTTTGCTAAAAAACAGTAAAACTCGTTAACAGGGTTTGCCCCAAAATTGAATATACTAATTAGTTTTGAAATGAGTAGTCTAAAACTTGGCAGTTTTGCTCTAAGTCTCACCTTGAATTTTCATATTTGCACACATTTAACACTCAAAACGAAACCTGGGTGTGGGAACTGTCCCACACCACATCCACCTCAATTCAGATGATTTGTCCCAAGTTCAATGAAGCTCATGTGAACTGAAAACAATGACTTCGGCAGAGCTCTGGTCTAAATTCCACTTTACAAGTCTTTTACATATCAAATACCGACCTTTTTGCTATCATATTGACAATAACAACAACAATAACAGCTGACGTATATTATGTGTTAAGTACTGTGTTAAGGCTTTGCATTTAATAATTCATTTAATGCTTAATTGTACCAATGCTGAGGTAGGTACAATTACCATCTCCATTTTACAGATGGAGAAACAAAGACTCAGATATGTTAAGTAATTTCCTCAGAGTTTACATCCAGTTAGCAAGGAATATATGAGTTGATGGTCTGGCTCCAGAGGCTGAGCTCCTGGCCACTATAATATAGTATTCTTTGTAGACATAATTCGAATATTGACTTTTTATAAACAAGTTTGACATATTTTTAGTCTGCCACTGGGAAAATATCTGATACATTTTCTCAATTACATAACTAATCTGAATTTTTGCTTTCATAGATCTGGGTGTAACTCATCAAAATGTTTCTGGATATATATTGCCTGAAACACAAAACAAGTTCCCTACTTAACTCAATAATACATTAATCACATAGTGAGACATTCCTGTAGGCTAAAAAAATACCAATATGCTAACTTGTTAGAGAAAACATCATAACCGGATATCTTCCTTGACTTTATTTTTGAAATTATAACCAGGATAAAAACAGATCTATACTTGCATTATTTCATTATCTCATCACATTGATAAATCATAAAGACAGAGCCTTAAAAGTGTTCCCAACTTATAGCTATTGTACTGAACAATCCACTCAAACATCAGATTCCAAGGAGACACAGTCTGAGGGGCCTAGATGAAGTCATATGTCCATCCCCTTGCCAGAAGAGGGCAGGGCACATAGACTGACAGTCCCACCATGGCTTCATGCAATGGGAAACAGTTCCCTAAAGGGAAATGAAAGTCTTGTTATCAAAAGGGCAAGCAAAAACAACAGACATCTTCTATATTGTCACAAATTTTCTCCATGTTGCTGAATCTAAAAGAAACTTTTCAGTTGTCTTAGTTTGAGAACATTGGACAACGCTGATACTTGCTTTGGCTTCTGTGAAATCAAAAACTCTTTCCATTTTCAAGCCTTCTGCTCTTACTCATCTTCATGGCTTTTTTCTTGGTGTATTCTTGGCCTTCTAGATGTCTCACTCTATACTTACCCATATAACCTTATAAAACCTATTACTTCAGGCTACTACCTAATAATGATGGCTCCCACATCTTTATTTCCCACCCATATTTCTCTTGAGAGCTTAAGCTATATATAGCTCTTCTCAGTTTTACTTAGCTATCTCTCCCAGGTACCTATAAGACAATGTATTCAAAAACTGAAATCTCCATTTCCCTCTCCAAACTTTCTCCTATTTTCCTAATTTCCATCAGTGAATGTCACTATTCTCTACCAGGTCATCCATGCTAGGTAACTTCTGCAAATCCCCTACTTCTTCCTTTCACCCAGTCTCCTGTCTCTCCTCCCAACCACCTTACCTTATTATATACATACATGAAGGTCCCAAGTGTCTTAGATTCTACATCTGTAGTTGCTCCAAATTACTTAACTTTTCTGCATATTGCAGGCTACTAAGCCAACTCAACCAATCAGCAGATTGTTGCGATGCTCTACTTGCCTCTTTCTTGACCCTTCTGATCTATCTCCCATGTTTCTAACAATAAAATGTTAATGTAATAATGCTTTTTAGAATAATTACCAATTCTTCGCTTAGCACAACAGGCCGTTGATGCCTTGTTCACAGCCTGTATCTCTAGCCTTATAACCTTCCAATTTTTCTTGCTCTTACAAACTGGGCTCTAATTATACATAGCTGCTTGTAGGTTCTTAACCCACCATGCTCTTTTAGACTTTTGTTTCTTCATACATGCTGTTCTCTCTACATGAAACACTCTTTTCCACTTATTTAATGGGCTATCTTGCCTTTCAAAACTCCATTCAAATATCTTTCCC